ATCAGTCGCCAACCCGCTGGCCTGCCATGTTTCTACAACGAGGTGCCAGAACCCGCCGGGACCCCCCACGGGTGCAGTGGAGCACACGAATCGATCGACCGTGCACCGTGGTTTCCCCTTCATTGATTCATGCGTTCGTGCGTGCGTGCTCCTTCGGTTGTCTTTCGTCCACAAAGACCCACACGGCCGGCCAAGCACGCACTGCCCCGGTGCCCGTGCGCCGTGCCAATTGCCAACGTAACGCGCGTCATCGTCACCGTCACGCGGTCATATGTTTTGCCCGTGCGCGCGTGCGGCCGACGCAGACACGGGACCGACCGGGCGTCCGCCGCGTACGCGCGCGCGCGTCTTCACCTAGTGAGAGCGAGATGAGAACAGGCATGGCATGATATGAGCCATTCCACCGGCGCCCACAAACATGCATGGGTCTGCAGAAATACCGGGCGGAGGCCGGCCATGGATGCATGGGGCATTTCATTTTTATTCAGCACATATCGCCGCGGCCAGCTAGCCCCCGCGGGCGCGGACTTCGGCGCACGCGGCACCCATCGCCTCGCCGCCACCTCCTTCCCGCGAACGATCGAATCAATCCACTCGCAGTCGCAGCCACGCGCACGTACGCCGTCCGTCGGTGCCTGCCGCCCGCCCGGCCGCAAACGCGCGCGGCTGCCGTTTTCCAATCGAGGGCCGGTCCGCTTGCCCTCTCTTCCCGGTCACTCTCCTTCCTTCGCCTTTAACTCCCCGCAAGGCGCGAGCAAACGACACGCATCCATGCGCAGGCGCAACGCCGGGGCGCGCGGGTTTCGCTCAACTGCTAGCTAGCTCTCTGCGTCATTTACTCGGCACAGTCTGCGCACCGACTGCGCTGCGTTCACGACGACACGAGCTAGAACAGTGTGAGTTCTGCTGCGATCCTCCTCGCTTGGAGCCCGGCACTTCTCCCGCTCTCAGTCTCTGTAGCCATTCACCATTGAATGCCTAGGAACAAACCGAGCAAGCGTGCGCCCGGCCGCGCGCTCGTGCGTGCATTACGTGCTGTGACCTGTGCGTGAGATCGATCAGGCAACTAGTGAGTAGCTGGACGAGGACGTCGGTGTGTCTCGCTGTCGCGACGCCGAATTGGTTCAGTGCAGCCAGCTCCTCCTATTACCGAGGTCATATTCTTAGTGAAGAGTTGGCTTTAGTTTCGTACTGTTATGTTTATACGTGACTCGTTACTCGTTGGATAGAATGCAATATAAAACATAAAACCATGGTTCTAATAGCATGCTATAATACCACTACAGCATATTTAGAGGACTTACCATTATAATATTACCAATCAGGGGCGGATCCGGACTAAATAATCATTAATGTCACTTGTGTTAAGAACATGACCATTAGCTTTATTTTTCCACGCTTCCTATAGTTGCGCCTGAAAACGCAAAACCAAATGCACCTGACAACTGAAGGAAACAAACGAAGAAAGAAGAAGTTCCAAAGTCATCTGATTTAAATCCAATGAATGAGAATCATTGCCTGATCAGATGCAAAATTTCAGGCACCTGATATATAGCAGGGCCCTTATTTTTCCTTAGGTGAACAATACTTTAGTCTTGGATCTCTAAAACCTACTGTTGTCAAGTGAAAGCACCAAATTGAGTTGGCTCTGCCCCTGTTGCACCTAACGACACTTTACCTCCACTAAATGCCAGTGTTTGGCTTGGACGTGAAATATTTTTTGGCACCGTTAATCTTGAACAAGACAAATATTCATTCTATGCTCTAGATTACTAGAATACATGCCTCTCTACTGTGTTCTTTATTTCCGTGAATGATCGCTATAGAACATTTGAATAACTAATTCTGGTTGAGTGTTGAGTGAATACAAACGATGAGTATAGAAGTGAGTATGTTGATTGAATACAGACATTAATAATTGTGAAGTTATGGATCTACGCCTATTCGGTTGGCTGGAAAAACGGCTGATGCTGATGCTGATTTGTTGTGAGAGAAAAACACTATTATTTCGCTGAAACGCTGAAACGGTACGGCTGATAAGTTCAAGCGAACAGGACCCTAGTCTGTTTTGGTGGTTTAGTGACAGAATAATTAAAGAACTAATGGGATTGGTGAGTTTTTGATAAGTTTCATTACAAATGATCATATCAAAATCATGTCATATCTTGAAATAAGGAGAAAAGTCAAGCAAATTAATAAAAGCAAAAGGAGACAAAGGGAGATGGATTTAGTTTAGTTTGGATGATGACCCATTTACACATGAATGAAAAAAGATTGATAGTTCGTTTGTATTGATCACAACTGAAATAAAAATCTAGAATGGCTAAGTGAAGAGATAACAAATCAAAGATAAATGACAAAAAGAGAAGATACATCATTTCATTTGATGCATTTTAATTAGGACCATTAGGTTAGCCATACGCTTTCAGATTATTAGGTTTTACTTGCTAGGATAGGGTTAATACTTAGCAAAGCTAGCAAACCACTCGCCCCTTGTGCATTTGTCGATTGTCGTTAAACAATCATGCACACAGAGATGCACGAGCACCTGGTATTTTAGTCATCATTAGAATATTAACACATACATGCATTCTTTAGATATATTTTCCCTTGATTAGTAACAACAAAGCACTTTTGATGATACCATTATAAAATCATTCTACACAACTTAATGCATCTTCTTCTAGTTGATTGAATGCTCAAAATTATTTATATATACTACTACCTTGATGAATATTAGAGGTCGCATCAAAGTTCATATTGCATTTTGCCCACTGCTACTATATAGAAACGGCATTTACATTCTGAAATTGAACCTGAGGCTATACATACAGGTTCTAGAACCAGAATTAACATGACTACCTAGGAGCAAAAAAGAAGAAAAGAAGAAGTGGGACACCCTTGAGCTATCCACACGTTTTTCGTGTGCGTGTATTGCTTCTAAGCTTCAAACCACTACATCTTCTCTCATGCGATCTATCCTTACGATTCCACCTACACTACATTGTTGTTGAAGAAACATGGAGGTTTATCATATTTGACCCTTCTTGTCTAATGCTTGGTTGATTACTTGGGTATCTAAATTTGGGCGCCACTGGATTCGGGGACCTACCACAAGCATGCGATGGGTCCATGATAAGCACCATCAACTTGAAAGGATTAGTAGGGCCTATAGGCAGTGAATAATCCTAAACTGAAAAATTAAATCTAAACTCGTAGTAGAATTAGTACATAGGACCAGATGTTATGTTTCAATCGAATACACAATACCTATCAGATATTGGTGGAATTGGATGTTTGGTCAGGCAGACGAATTAGCTACAAGAAGTACAAATTTGACCAACAAAATTTGAATCTCTACATTTTAGCAAGACCCCTAGTAGATGTGTGAAGATGTCCTCACTAGCTCTCTGCACTTAAAGTTACTCAAGCAAGTAGATCGGGAAAATTCTCCACAATACAACAAGAACTAGCTCAAGAACACGAGAACACACAACCACAAAGGACACAAGATTTAACTCGATGTTCTGCCAATCCACAAAGGAATGCTATGCCCTCGTTGTCGAGGAAGCCGCCAAGGCTTTGGGTCTCTTTCAACCCTACCCTCTTCTCCAAGCGAATCACCGAGATCAAGCTTGAGTAGATTCCACCGAGCTTATAGAATCTTCCTAGAACACTCCACAAGAAGATCGGCCTCGTTCAACTTACCCCATATCCGGCTTGTTCGGCTTCTTTTTTCAGCCGGAACAGTGTTTTTCTCTCACAATATTTCAGCCAGAACAGTATTTTCAGTCAATTTCAGCCAAAATTCAGCCAGCCGAATGGGGCCGATGGGTGCTTCGATGGGCAACTCATTGCCAGCTACGATTCCACCGAATCCAAGAGTTACAAACTCATATTCAGGCTTTGAAGGAGACTCCAAATGCTGAAAGGATGGAAAATTGAACTTCGAGCACTCAAATCTCTCAACCCAAGCAAGTCCCTTTCAAACCACACACACCTCAAATCCTCCAAGAATCATAGCTCTAAAGTAGGAGGGGAAGTGAGTAAATGTGTGGTCGGTTTTGGCTCAAAGTGGATGAAAAGCATCACTAGACCCATTATTATGAAATATATGTTCGGAGGTTATTCCTATGGGATAATAGATGTCAATATTCTTCTTTGTAAATTCAATTAAACTTAAAAGATGATTTGAGTTGGGAATCCCAAATTCCCATCTATTCCCTGTTGTGCTACGGAGGCAGTAACAGAAGGCCAGCAGAATGGCACCTGCCACTGCAGCCCATGTCATCCTTGCTTGACAAACTGGAAGAAGGATCAAATCACAGTGTACTTTTCATCAGCTAGGAGCTATCAGCACTGTAGCTCGGCATGTCCATGTCCGGGATGTCCCCATCCATCAGTAGCCCCTCTTCAATTCCCCCCCTTTACCATGCAAGATTCACCCTGCTCCCCTCCCTCTATCTCACCAGTCACCAGTCATCACCCCTCCATTTTTACGCTCGCACAATTCCAAGGGATCTAGCAAAGCAAAAGGAAGGAGGAGGAGGAAGAGGAGGAGGAGGAGGGGATGGTGGCATTAACTGTGTTATAACTCTGCTGCACTGCACAATACTAGTATACTACGTACGGTAATAGGTGAGAAAGCTAGCCATTTATATAAGCATGCAGCAGCGGGGGCAAGAACAGGAGAAAAGCCATAGCCAAATCCATAGGGTTCTTCGTCCTCCCTGGCTCCCTCCGATCCCCACACTGTTCCTCTACAGGCTACAGGAGCAGCAACAGCTGGAGACACAACACACACGCCCTTTGCCCTGGCCGGCCGATCGATCTGCCCCCTCTCACCCCATCTCACCAGTCACCAGCAGTCCAGCACCAATCATCATCGATCGAGCACAGACGACGACCACAGCTAGCTGTCTTGCCGAAGGCAACAAGGAGGGAAGAAGGACCACCACCGGCCAGCAATCCGTCGATAAAAGCGCACGTCGGAGCAGCATATGGCGTCCTCGAACAGGCACTGGCCGAGCATGTACAGGTCCAGCCTCGCCTGCAACTTCCAGCAGCCGCAGCCTGACATGAACAACGGCGGCAAGTCCTCACTCATGTCCTCAAGTATGCATGTCTCTTTAGTCTTATCTATAAGCATGTTGCACCTTTACCTGCATATTACTGTTTCTTGCTGCATGCTCAGATCAGCAGCTGCATACTACGTAGCTAGCTTAGGGTTTGGTTTCTTGAAGCCTGGCGAGCGCTGAATCCACCGGCCGGCTTTGCTTAAAATCCGTTGAGATGTGTGCTTGCTTCCCAGGGTGCGAGGAGAACGGCGGAAGGAATCCGGAGCCGAGGCCCCGGTGGAACCCGCGGCCGGAGCAGATCAGGATCCTGGAAGGGATCTTCAACTCTGGCATGGTGAACCCGTCGCGCGACGAGATCCGCCGCATCCGCCTCCAGCTGCAGGAGTACGGCCCCGTCGGCGACGCCAACGTCTTCTACTGGTTCCAGAACCGCAAGTCCCGCACCAAGCACAAGCTGCGCGCCGCGGGGCAGCTGCAGCCGTCCGCCCGCGCCACCCTGGCGCGCGCGAACGCCCTGGCGCCGGTTCCCGCCCCCGTGACGCCTCCGAGGCACCACCTGCAGCTCGCGGCAGCTGCTCCCGTGGCGCCCACGTCCTCTTCCTTGTCGTCCTCCGACCGGTCCTCGGGGTCGTCGAGCAAGTCGGTGACGCCGACGACCGCCGTCGCGCTTGCGTCACCGGTTGTCGTCCAGGGCGTGATGCCGGCGACGGCCATGGACCTTCTTACGCCGCTGCCGCAGTCGGCGGCGGCTCTGGCCGCGCGCCAACTCTACTACCAGTACCACAGCCAGATCATGGCGCCTGCAGCGCCGCCGATGCCCGATCTGATGATCGCATCCCCCGAGCCACTCCTTCCGCCGTGGCAGCAAGGCGGACAGCATTACCTGCCGGCCACCGAGCTCGGCGGAATCCTCGGCGGCCACACCCACACGCACGAGCCGTCAGCCATGCACAGGGCCGCCGTTTCACTCTCACCCAGCGTGCTCTTTGGCCTGTACAACGAAGCTCTAGGGCAAGACTGCGCCGACATCAGCATCGTCTCCAAGGGACTCGGCCATGGCCAGTTCTGGAACAGCACCTGCGGTTCTGATCTGAGCAATAGCAAGACCGACGCCGTAAGCGCAGTGATCAGGGACGACGAGAAGGCCAGGCTGGGGTTACTCCACTACCACGGCTTTGGTGCGACGACGAACGCTGCTGCTGCTGTCGCTTCGGCCCCTCTCGCTGCCGCTGCTGCAGATGCCGGTACGGCGGCCATGCTGCTTCCAAGCTCTGCGCCGAGCAACGCCGCCGCGGCCACGAGCGCCGCCGTACTCACCGACCAGTTGCAAGGTGCGTGACAGTAATATAGCTTAGATCATATGCAAGTTCGTTCCATTCTTGTCTCTTTTCCCCTGTTTTCTGTCCGGGTTTCAATTCACAAGCATTGTTCGTGCAAAAAGATTGTAGTAATAGCATGCATGCGCATAGACAAAAGGCCGGGTCTCCTCGTCCTGCCGTGACTGCACTGCACGCATCATCCTCGTGCCTGGCCTGCCCTGTCTCGATCTACTTGCAAGCTTGGATGTAGCGAGCTTGCCAAAGGGGAGGACATGCCACTTCGATGATAGGAATGCATGGCTCCAATTTCTTGCGATCCCATCGGATGCCAATGTACGCATGCATGGTGTGTTGGTGTGTCGCAGGCAATGAGACAAGGTTAGGCATGCATGCGTGTAAAATCTACTGGTGCATGCACCGATCTTGTCACGCTGTATGTGCACCCTGTTGATGCATAGCTAGCTAGAGATCGACATTTCCATGACAAGGTTACACTTGCACAGGGGAACTTGTCAGCTTGTAAGCATATGCATACATGACCGATAGGTGTAGAGGTAGAGAAAGAACCAAAAGTTGTGAGCTGGTTGCCTCTGTTTCCCATTTCATACTGGGAAAGCACTACCGTGCAATGTGCAATGTCGTACAGTACTAGAGGTACATTACACTTACACGCAGTACTACACATATAAACGCCAAGACATAGGACTGGTGGGAATCTATATGCACGTTCAGGCAGAAGAACATCGCTAGCAATAGCATTGTTACTACTCCAAGAGAAAACTTTATGGCATTACTAACTGCAAACGTGCATGTTGATTGTTTAAGCATAAGATTCCAAGAGAAAACTTTATGGCATTACTAACTGCAAACGTGCATGTTGATTGTTTGATTGCTATACGCATGAACATGGTACAATGCTATTCCGTACCTGATTTAGCATGTGTGAAAAGACTTGGACTGAATATGTGCCCTGAGATATTATGAAATGAACCATGGAGATCCAAAAGCAGATTGAGACACCTTCAGTGGACACTTTCAGCCTGTTCATTTAGTCGTATTTGACTTATAAGCTATGACTTATCAATTAAAGAACAGTATTTTTCTCTCACATCAAACCAGTCAACGGTACTTTTGGCTATGACTTATCGGCCAAACAAGCTCAACCGAACAGTGCTGGCAATTGGGTCTCCATCGTCCATTGAGGTCATAAATGGCGCCCTTGTATAGTCTTGTCGGGGTGCTTTCTTCAAGGGGGTGAAACATCTACGTACTACTACTAGAGTGCTGAAAAGATTGAGTGTGATGGCTGTCAAATCGTCTCCTTCTCGATCAGTCGATCTCCAAGAAAACCCTTGAAATCTCGCTCTTGATTTCACACGGCAGCTAGCTAGCTCCTCCTAGGTAGGGTAACGATTCCACTCGATCGCTAGCTGCTAATATATCTGTCATCAGCAGGGCTGTTGGATGCTGGGCTGCTGATCGGGGAGATGCCTCCGCCGCCGCCGCCGCCGACGGCGACGGTGGTGGCCGTGGCGCGGGACGCCGTGACTTGCGCGGCCACCGCCACCGCGCAGTTCAGCGTCCCGGCGATGCGCCTGGACGTGAAGCTGGCCTTCGGCGAGGCCGCCGTGCTGGCGCGCCACACCGGCGAGGCGGTCCCCGTCGACGAGTCTGGCGTCACCGTGGAGCCGCTCCAGCAGGACACTCTCTACTACGTGCTCATGGTATGTGATAACGTATAGCTAGCGATCATGAAGTAATCCTGCTCAGTGTTCAGTACCGGAAAAGGAGAAAAAGCTCATAAGCAACCATCTAACAACTGAATGATATAAGCTGCAAGTCTTCTGAGTCAAAAAGTGTCAAAGGGAAGGGAACGCGAAGAGCGACAGCACTACTGATCCACGCACGAACGCCTATATATTTCGGAGTGTAGCTAATTAAGCTAGCTAGCTGCTGTCATCTGATATGTATCATTTTCCTTCAGTACGAACCAAACCTAGGTATATTTTGCCATGCACGCATGTATTTTAAATCAGGACCAAACAGCACTGTGTTTTGCTTTATTTTCATCTGATGAAATGAAATAAGCCATCCCAATGCAAGTTCCGGAGTAGTAGCACACTTGTACTCCGTAGCACTGAAGTACAATGAAGTATCTGAATTGTTTTTTTTTATTGGTCGAACGGAGTCTGGCATTGTGTGTGATGATTGATGAGAGGCAGCAGAAACGCTGGTATGGTCATGGTCTGCAGGGTGCATGGGGGAGGTCTGGTCTGGATTCTGGATTTCTGAATTCTGATCATAAAGGTTTCAGAAGTGCAGAGAGGCCTTTTCGCGGACTTGCAGCCTGTTCATTTTGGCTTATTTGTTTGTTTGTATCTGGCTTATAATCCACGACTTTAACAAGTCATTTTTCTCTTACACCAAACCAGCCAGCGTTACTTTTAGCTATAGATTATAAGCCGATTTGCCGAAACGAACAGTCTGTTGATGATCGATCACGACCACAGCACTGTAGGAGTACGTGGATACAGCCGGCCAGGGAACATATATACGTTACGTATGGGCAGGCCTCTCCCGTGCGCAACCTGCCTTGCTCCCTCCGCTGGTTGGTAGCTGCCCTTCCGTCCAGTCCAGGGTCCGCCGGGCGGGGCGCGTCGGCAGACCAACCGGACGGTTCTGCACCTGTGTTCTGCCACTGCCTCTCTCTGGCATGCAGATGCAGTGGCTCGTCGTCGTCTCAGGGGGAACCGGGAACTGAAATGCAGCGCCTTAGGCTGCACGGCACGGTGCACCGGCCTCGTCTCTCTCAAACGCACTGATCCGCCGACGCACACGCAGTCAAAAGGGTGGGTTTGTTTGTCGTCGACAGATTGGCAGACCGCAGATGTTGCCCCCCGCGTGCAGGCCGCACGCAGCACAGGCACAGCTCCGGTAGAAAGAACGCAGCAGGGTTTTGACCTCGCATATGCTTCATGGCGGCAAGCAATGCACGCAACGGCTTCTCTTTTTTGATGTGTGCACGCAACGGCTTTTGCATTGGGCCGACGATGTCCTACACTACACTGCTAGTACGAGTCATCATGATGCCTACTATAGGGAGCACATAGAGAGTTCCGGCCAGTTCTTTTTTTTTTTAATAATAACTCCGGCCAGGTTTGCTGTGCCAACAGATCCACGAAGATCCTATATACACGGCCCGGCCTGATAAATTCATGGACCGACCCATTTAGTGCGTGGGGCAAACATACCCTTGTTTTGTCCTAATACGGCTATCCAGCCCGGCCCTAAATTCCATCTAGACATTTTCTAAAATCATGCTTAAAAAACGAAACCTTCATATTTTTCAGAGTTTAAACAAAATTTCTAAAAAAGTTATAATATTTAAACATATTTTAATAATTTTAAATGCATATTTATTCTAGAAAAAAAATTGGATAATTTTTTGAAAAGATGTTTCTATATTATTTATAAATAAAGTTTAATTGATCTTACTAAACTATTACGAAATTTTGATTTATCTGCCTCTTGGCTGACGTGGTGTAAAGTAAGACTGCTCATGTGGTTCCACATCAACCAAAACCCCAAGGAAGGTAAATCAGACTGTTTCAAGAGTTGGAAAAGTCTAAAAGTCAGGTTTCCTAGCCGTGGAAGGTAAATTCTACTCAGTCAATAGTTGAGAGAGGTTGGATAGACTCAGGCATGAATCTATATCTATCTATTCTATATTATAAGGGAGCGAAGGAATTGAAAATAACTTTCACCCAAAAATTTCTTACCCGCCTACTATCCGAACCGTTCATGTCTTAGTCTCTTTTAATCTGATGGTTCCGGTTAATCTGAGAGTGGACCCGTAGTAAGATCTACGCGTAAGATCACGTTATGGCGTGTGTTTTTTTGCACCGACGGCAACGCTTACCCGCCCACTATATCCACCGCCTGTTCGCGCCGCGCTCGCCTCTCACGTTTTTTGACCACTGCGTAACCGTCCGCCCGCGCCGTATCCTTTGGCATTCTGTAACCGCCCGCGGCACCGTCTCCTCCAGCGGACAACACTCCCATTCACCGTGTTTGTTCTGCGACAGGAGACCAATCCGTCTAGATGCCGCCTCTGAAGAACGGGTCGCCGAGGAAGGAGGCGAGTAGGGGTGTCGCCGCCGTTGGGGAAGAGCACGAAGCCACGAACCCCCACGCGAAGCGGTCGTTGCCGAGCGGCGTGATCTCGTCCTGAGCTAGGATGTACTCCCCGCCGCGGATGAATGTGGCGAAGTCGTTCCTCTCCATCCCCCGTTTGTTTGCCTCCTCCGCTTCTCCAAGGACGGCGGCGGCCCACGTCCCTGCCGCCGCACCAGCACCCGCAGCAGGCCTCCTCATCAGGGCCGCGGGCTCACGCAACCGCCGCCGCCCATTTTTCAATGTAAGAAATAACAGCATAGACAAATATTGCTCAATGCTCATGTATCCGAGGAAAGAAAAAACGTATGACATAGGAGAAAATTGCAATTATAGGACACCAAACAACGCGCTTCGTAATTATAGGACTTCAATCGTCGACTTCGTTAAAATGACCCTCGAAACGTTGGCTTCTTATTTTAGATGACATTTGACATATTTCTTCACTTTGTTAATCAAAATACATGTATTTTAGCATTTCTGTGACCCTTCTGCCCTTGTGCTCGGGACGATCCGGAACCTCACGGCGCTGTGGACGCTGTCGCTCCGCCGAAATCAGGGGGGCCACGCTCACCGCGACTGGAACGGTTGTGCCCAGCAACACAGTTGATGAGGCCTTCCCACCACTCCCAGGGATTGCTGCATTATTACCCCCAGCACCAGCAGTCGCGCCAGGCGTAGAATGAGACCCCCGAGGGGAGTTGTTTGGGTGCGCATCGGGCGGCGAGGGGAGTTGTTTGGGTGCGCATCGGGCGGCGGCGCCGTCGTGTTGAAGTTGAGATTGCTGGTGACATTCACATCCACGGTGGGACTGAATGGGGGCAGCGGCCCATTCAAGTCATTCATGGACAGGTCCAGCTTCTGCAGCGAGGCGAGCTTGGTGAGGCTGTCCGGCACCCGGCCGGTGAGATGGTTGCCGGAGAGCTTGACGTCGGGCAGGTTGAGCATGGTGACTTTGCCCTGGACGCAGGTGACGCCGAGCCAGCCGGCGCAGGGGTCGTTCCCGGACCAGGTCCCGACCAGCCTGGTCGAGTACTGCGGGATCCCGGCCGACATCCGGAACAATGGCGGAGCTACGGTACCTGTACCTCGACGGCAACCGGCTCGATGGGCAGATACCGGAGGGGTTCTTTGGCCTCCGGTTGCTGCAGCGGCTCGACCTCTCGAACTACCGCTTCGCCGGTGGGGTCTCGCCGGACTTCAACAGGCTCCAGAGGCTCGCTAGTCTGTACTTGGAGAACAACAGCTTGAATGGCACGCTGCCGTCCAACCTTGACCTCCCGAAGCTTCAACTCTTCAACGTGTTCAGAAACAACCTCACGGGACCTCACGTGTCCAGAAACAACCTCACGTGTCCAGAAACAACCTCGCTAGTCTCCTGAGTCGGTCACCGTGGCGAGCATGGACCCGCCGCCTGTCCATGGCTGGGCGTGGCCTGGGCTGGCTGGCCATAATGTACAGTTAATATGTAATATAAATTATCAAAGATGATCCATACACAATTACAAGTAATAGATAACACCATGAATTTAGCACAAACGAGCTCATCTTATAAAACCATGATTCTAGCATAAACAAGTTCATCTCAGAAGACCATAATTTAGTTCCAAACGAGATCCAAGTCATATGAAATAAAGCATGAGTTTACATCTCATCACAACTAAATTAATTCATTCAATGTGTAGCTTTCTCTTTGGAGTCATCTTTTTTGGTGCTGTCGTGGTAGGCATCTTCACGGGACTAGTGGTGTCGGTTTGTGAAGATGTGCCCTCTCCTAATAACATCGCAAGCTTGCTGCACATAAATACGATATGACAATTATATGTATAGAAAAAATAATGTACAGTAAATGTGTTAATATTCCTTACCTTCTGGTGACCCTTCCTGGACTATCCCGTAGGATTTCTTCTCTAGTTGGCCTCCGTGGGGTGCTAGGTTCTGCTGACGCAGCTTTTGTAACATTCTTTCTAGGTTGCCTACGCTTCCTACAAGTAATCAAATAAATTAATATTGATATTTTCATTTAAGTTTCTTGATAAAGAAAATTAGTTCTTACCTCTTTTTTGCTGTCCCATTTAGTGGGCACTTGGCACTAGCTTGCCTGTGACCTTTTTCTCCACATTTTTTGCAAGTCATAGGTCCTCTGATCATCTTCTTTCCCATTCCATTTGTTAGAACAGTATCGTTGTCACATCCCTTCTCACCTTCACCCTTGTTGGTACATTCACCATCTTTGGAAACTTTCTTCTTGTGGCCACCTTCCATCCATCCTTTCCTTCTTAGTTTCCTTCGTCTTCCAACAGGTAATTTAGCAAGAGGTGCACCAACTAAAAATGGTAGGTCAACTTGTGGCCATTGTGTTTTATCTGTCATCGGCTCAATCTCTCTACCATAAGCAGCACTGAATCTATTCACCGAGTAATAGTCATGCACAAACTGTTCAAGGTCAACTCCCCGTTGGTGGGTTACATAGGCCAATACATGTTGACATGGCTTACCAGTGTGCTGCCATTCAAGACAAGTACAGGTCCTTTGGTGTAACTTGACAATATGCCTCTCAACTCTGCTGCTATGGTCCCACACCTCTGCACTCCAATTAGAACATGGTACAATTTTCAAGTGTCCCAAACCTCTAGTATTTGCCTTTAGCTGATGCATAATAGCTGGAAGTATCCTGCCTTCAGGTAGCCTGTATGCAATATTTCTTCTCTTGTTCCAAAGTACCATGATCATTTCTCTAATCTTATCAGCAAGGTCAGCAACAGGTAAGTCTTTATGGTCTCTAATCCAGTTATTAAATGACTCAGCAATATTACTAGTTATGTAGTCACACTTAATTTCTGGATTGAAAGCACACCTATACCATAATAGCTTATGATTGGTCTGTAACCATTTCACTGCTTCTGCTGATTCACTTACCATTTTTGCTATATTGTCATAGAATATGTCTTCTCTGTAAGCCCTTGCCGCAGGATATATCTGTCCAAACCCTCTAAATCTCTTCTGAAAATTTTTGACAAGATGATAAAAGCATTCTCTTTGCTCTGCATTTGGGAATACATTCTTCACTGCATTCTCCAAGCCCTTGCAAGCATCAGAACAATGAAGTATCTGAATTGTTTAGTGGAGGATCACCTATTGCCTTCTTTAATTGCTCCATGAACCAAGTCCTGGTATATGTCATGTTGTTTGCAAGCTATGAAGCCATAAGCGAGTGGATACATCCAATTATGACCATCAACTGCTAAAGGTTTCAGAAGCCAAGTGACCATTCCACCTACCATTAAGTCTCTGTAGCATCTATGCTCAAATGAGGGCCTACAACCTTCCAAGAAACCGTCAATGCATGGTTTAAGAGCACAGAAAAAAAACGGTGGAAATATACTTGACCATCCACCTCAAGTACCTCAATTTTCGAAACGACACTCCGGGCACCGCTTCATTACCTCGGCCTTCCACCTAAACAACTACTCAAAACTCTCTTCCCATTTGCCATAAACCTCGTCAAGAGGCCTCTCTTTCTTTACCCTGCCTTGCTACAAAAGGTCATATGCAATTTGACACTTGTGATCCAGTCTGCAACTTCTT